CCTGCCTTCCCTGTGTCCCTGCGCTCGCTGTGGGCTGCTGTGCGGGGTGAAATGGTTGTGCCGGGAGAGGTTCAGATCGGATATCAGGAAAAATTTATATGTGGAAAGAGCGGTGAAGCCTTGCAACAGGCTGCCCAGGGAAGTGGCGGAGTCCCCATTCCTGGCAGTGTTCAGGAAATGTGTAGATGAGGCGTTTAGGGACGTGGTTTAGCAGGATGGTGGTGATGGGTTTGTGGTTGGACTCAATGATCTTGAAGAGCTTTCCAGCTGTCACGATTCTATGATTCCACAATGGGGGCCTGTGTGTGGGTGGCCTGAGGCGGAGGAGGGACGTGCTGAGAAAGGGGGTGTCCTGGGGGTGTCCACAGAGGCTCTGCTTAGAAAGGATCTGTGGAGATCAGCTAGTCCAGCCCTGCTGCGCAAGCAGGGTCACCTGCAGCAGCCAGGACCTTGCAGAGGCCCTGCAAACAGCTCCATGGGTGTACAGTGGGAGCAGGATGGTGGTGTTCTGCATGCCGGTCCATCTGCAAGGGCCTCTTGCTTTATGGCTCAGGCCATGAGGCTCTGGGTAATGAATCCTTCTCCTGCTTAGCTCCTTTGGACAGTGACCTGTGCAGTGTGGCAGAAGGGAGCTGTAGTAAGGGAACTGCTGCCTGCTCGAGGCTCGATGGATAGGCACAACGGAGGAAGGAATAAAAGCAGAGCCGAGATGGTGCTGCTCCTTCCATGTGGTGTTGGGGACTGTCGCGCTCTCTTCTAGTCCCTCTTGCTCTTTGCAACCCAGGAGCAGCTTCTCTGCCATCGTGGAGGACTGAGTGAGTGTCAGCAGTGGGCTAATTATTAAGATAATTACATAAGTGTAAAATATCTAACTGAATAAAGCAGTTATATGAATATATTTATATCTGAATTATTAACTGGTGCCTTCTAATAGCTTCATGGTCCCTTCTGTGATAGGGTCAGGTGGAGATGCCGTGGGACAACTAGGTACACAAATAGATACACAAATAGATATGAGACCTAGCAAGGGTAGGACGTGCAGCTTCTCTCTTGTGCTTGGTGGTACTTTTGACCTGGCTAGGGGAGATATCCAGCTCCAGCGCTCCGTGTCATGGCTCTCTCTGAGAGCTGGCAAATTTGCAGCAAGATCCTGCTGTGGAAAGCATTGTTTTCAGCACTTTTTTCAGGTCAGTCTTCTACAGTCCGTTGTGGAAACTGAGGTTCTTGAGGCAACTCAGATGGCTTCTTATTAGCAGAGGGGAAAAAGGAGAAAGATTCGTGGTGTGAATGGAAGAAGAGCTGAGATGGGGAGATAAATGTTCATTGGAGACCCACAGTTCCTGGCCTGCTTATTTATTTTTTTTCTTCTCTGCTCAATCTGTTGGTAGGTTTTGAGTGACCCAAACGCTCCAGGGCAAGACGGGGTGCCACAAGATGCCGTCCTGCAAGTCTCAGACGGGTCCTACTACATCCGTGTGGTCCTTACGTCAGAAGCTCTGCAGGCCGAAGAAAAGTAGGTTCCTTATACAGCATTAAACAGCCTTCTGCCAAAGGGGTTGTTGTTTGTAGAGGAGGAAGAGCAGTAGAGAGGGTCCCAGGGATAAGAGAGGATACGCTGTCCTGAACTGGGAAAGGTGAACTGCGTGGCATTTTCTCCAGGGGCAGGGTTTTGTGTTCTGCCTCTGGTGTTGCCACTTGGAGCCGTGACTGATTCTGGCTCTTGCTGGCTGTGGAGTGCAGGGTGGTGCCTTGCTGCTCTTTCTGCGTGCTATATTGTGTGGTCAGGGCTAAGTCTAGAGATTCCAAAACGAATGTTGAAGCTGACAGAGAGGCTTAATTGTGACTCAGTCTCCAGCTCCTTCAGTGCTAGCAGCTTGCCTCAGTTTCCCCATTTCAACATAACCTCCCTGTTTTGCAGCTGGCCGGAGTAACTGGCTAGTTGCTGGTACTGAGCCAGGGATAAAAAGCAGCTCTGAGCATTGTGCTGTGTTCAGTCCTCACGCTTATTCTGAGACATGTTCCAGTCTGTCCAGGGTGGTTGGAGTAGCCGAAAGGGGAGCTGCACTGCAGGTCTGGGTGACATCTCTCCAAGATGATTCTGCTCTGCTCTTTCCGTAGTTCCCACATGCAGCTCAAGTTTTCCAGCCTTATTTGCAGAATCATCGTCTTGCAGAAGTACATGGTGTGTTTCCGGGAGGAGGCCAGGCTGGTAAGGCACTCTTGTTGTTTCTTGTGTGACAGTGACTTATTCCCTAACGTGCCTCACTTCCTGCATGCTTTTGTACCTGAGGCACTGATGGGATTGTTTCAATGGCCCAGAGGCAAATGAGGGCTGGCTTAGCTCCTCTCATGCTGCTGGAAACCTTTTCACCCAGTAGACTTTCAGCCTTCAGCTCCTGGAAGGCTCTGTGGCAGTGGAAAGCCTGGGTGCTAGATGACATGGACGTGGTGTAGCAGAAGCCTGGCCATCCCACTGCTGCTTCTGGCTGCCAACTGCATGTTCAGAGGAGGCATGTGCCACTTGTTCGTGCCACCGCTGTCCCCTCGCACACGTCCAGGGTGCACTCCTGGCCTGAGGCTAGCTGCTTTTTGGAGGATCTGTGGCTGCTTGTTGGAACTGGGTGCTAGTCCTTGGTCTGCTCCTGTTTGCTGTCCATGATGGTTGTGTTCAGACTTTCTACTTGGCGGGGTAGGCAGAGCAGCAGACTAACCACTCTTGACAGTAAAAGGGCTGTGAAGTGACCAGGAGGGGATCCGAAACCCCT